GTATGGGTCAGGTCAGAGCTGAAAGATGCTTCTGGAAGGCAGAGAAGGAGGAGGGAAGGGCTAACAGATAAGCACTCCTACCTGCCCCACAGGTCCCCACCTCTCCACCTCAAACCGCCCCCACTGCCCCACTCCTGCCACACCCAGCAGGTGGCAAGAAGCCTGGGGCAGATGGGGCTAGGAATGGAAAGTTTGGGTGGAGTCCCTCATCCTCCTCCCCTCCCCATCCCAGGCCTCCCAGACTCTTCCTCCCCATACCTCGCTGCACATGGAGCCCCCTCCATGGTGGTCCAGAAGGGAGGAGCAGGAGCTCAGTGAAGGAGCTGGGTAACCCACTGGGGTGAGGGCCGCAGGCACCCCCATTTTGCAGAGGAGAAAACGAGGCTTAGACTGGGCACCTCTCAGCCAAGGCTGCACAGCAAGGAAAGAGACAGGCCCTGGGCTTGAACCGGGTCTCAGAGCCAAGGGAGGTCCTGGGGTTGAATAGAGGCTGCAGGGTTCCAGGCTCTCACCCTGGGCTCAGGTCGTGACAGGAAGGTGTTCCCGTTCTTCTTCTTTTAAACATTTTCTAGAGGGCATATGCACTTGCCAGAGAGAGAGACAGAGAGAGCGAGAGCGGGTTTCCCCAGGAAACCTCTGGCACTACTAGGCATGCAATAGGGACAATGTTCCCTTTGCCATGGAACTGAAGAAGGGCAGGCCAGCCTGCGGTTTCTTTGGGCCTCGTTTAGGAAATCATTTACGTGGGAAGCGCTCACATCCGATCCCTTCTCCTCCATTTCTCTGTCCTGTCAGGATTTGGGGTATGCACATGTGCCTGGCATATCTATTAAGCAGATAGGCCTGGAAAACTGGGTGGTCCTTGTGGGATCTGGCCGTGGGGCTGGTGCTCATCTCCATTTTTCTAACACTTTTCACCTTTTTAAAAAAAAATTATTTTATTTAACTTTTATTTTATTTTATTTTCATTTGACTAGAGAAGGACAGAGAGAGAGAGAGAGAGAGAGCAAGCAAGCCTCCAGGCCTAGAACGGCCATGTGGGAGCCCAAACCACCATGCTACCTTCCGGCCCCTCACTTTTCAACTTTCTGAAGAAGACTCTCCTGGGATCAGTAGTTGGTGTAATGGCTGGACTCCCATGTAGCCGCCTGTGGGTCGAGTGGACCCAGTGGCTTAAACTCACCCCAGGCGCATGTGCGTGCGTGCCCAGGATAATGAAAGGAGAATGGAGGAGAAGGAATTACGGCGTGGCCATCCCCCTGGGGGGTGATTTCTCACTTTCTGTCTCTCTGTCTCTCTCTGTCTTCCTGGCAAGCGCATGTGCCATATAGCAAAAACCTCTCCAAAAAAAGAAGACTCCCCTGACCTCACTCTCCGCCGTCTGTGCATCCGTGCTGTTTCCCAGACTCATCCTTGCCCGCCCTGCTGGTCCTGGCTGGGAACCACTCACGCAGAGCCGGCCTGCAAGCCCGAACCTGCCCTTGGTGATGGCCGGGTGCCGGCACCCTATCAATGATCTGTTCTCAGAGCTCACTCATTTCTGTAACCGAGACAAGCTGCATACTCGATCGACTCGTAGTCGTTGGTGTCGCTATCCTGTCTTACCTGTTCTGGAATAATATGATGTGAGTATGAGGTCATTTCTAAGTAATCGTTGATGGATTTATTTCCTAATACTCCGTATAAAGGGGTACTCCCTTCTGAGTACGTTGTACGGATTTAAGTTTACGGATTTCTATTTCCATGAGAGAGAAAGCCCCCAACGGTGTTCACACCACCGTCTCCCAGGATGATGGGCACATGTTTCCACCAGGCGTGCAGAGGAAGTCCCTAGGACCCCACCCATGGCCCGAGGCTTTCCCATGTGGGTCCGGTGCATTACCACTGTGCCATCTGCTGGTGCAGACTTTAACAGAGAAGTTCAATGAGATTTGACAAACATGGAGACCTGTGGAACCACCTTCCCTGTCTACCTGCCTTCCACCCCTATCCCAGGAAACCACTGTCACTTGGGAGCATGTACTAGAGAGAATAGAGAATTTACCATGAAAATAAAAAGGTGGCGTGCTGGTTAAGGCACTGGACTCCCACATGACCGACCACAGTTCAAGTCCTGGACTTGGAGGCTTGCTTTCCTGGCTTTCCCTCTCTCCCTCTCTCTCTGTAGCTCTGTGGTCAAATAAAAGAAGAAAAATAAGGATGCTGATGAAGAAATTAAATCAAATAATTCTTTAAAAAGGAAAAGGAAAAGAGAAAGGTGTACTCGGGCAGTCTGAGGCTTCTTACTTCGGCCTCCTTTAGGACGTCATGTAGGTGAGAAGTCACCACTGCGTGCCTACCTGGGGGCTGCAGGAAGTTAAATTCCAGGCTCTGTCGAGGCCAGCTCATTGCTGCCTGGTTATTTTGTACATAATGAGGATAACTCTGGGCTGCATCGATTTTGTAAGTTGACAGTTTAGTCGTGACATATTTAGAGCTAGCCCATGATGTGGTGCTTAAGGGGGCTGGATCCCACATGGCCGACTGTGCAGTTGAGTCCTGGACCCAGAGACCTGAGCAACGTGCCAGGCCTGCGTGTGTGCATGCCCAAACTCCCCAAAGGAGGGAGACAGAGAAAAGGGACCGCGTGTGGCCATTCCCCATGGAGGGTGCCTCCTCACTTTCTCGTGTCTTTCGGCACATTTCTTTTTTGTAAATGACATTTGGGGCCAGCAGGTGGCCTACTGGTTAAAGCACTGGGCTCCCAGGGCCGGCAAGAGGCGTGGTGGTTAAGGGTGCTGAACTCCCACATGGCTGACTGTGGTTTGAGTCCCAGACCTGGTGGCTGGCTTTCTCTCTCTTTGCCTCTCTCTTGCTCACTCGCTCTGTGCCTCTCTCATCAAATTAAAATAAGTAGATAAAGTAATAAAACAAATACATAAAAAAACTAAATGATTTTAAAACTAACTAAATAAAATAAAGCACTGGCTTGAGTCCTGGACCCAGCGGCACGAAAATCATACCAGGCACATATATGTGTGTGTGTGTATGCCCCACATCCCAAGAGGAGGATGGAGGCTTGGAAGGGATTGTGGCATGGCCATCCCCCACTGGGGGTTATTTCTTTCCCTGTCTCTCTCTCGCTCGCTCTCTCCGTTGAGTACATGCTCCCTATGGCAAAAAAAAAAAAAAAAAAAAAAAGGCATTTAAAATCTTTTTTCTTAAGCTTTGATGTCCTTTTGAAATTTTACAGTTCTATTTATAAACATGGTAAATTTACCAATCTAGTCACCGCCAAGGGGAAGTGGATTCTGTAGTGTTCAGTGCTCTTATGAGCTTAGCGAGCTGTCGTAAATATTTTAAGCTGCCTGGATGGGTTTACAACGCATTCTGCTTCCAGTATCTCAATTGACCGATAAGCTTTTCCACACAACCAAGTAATTCTTGTACATTTCTGAGCTGAGGCAGGGAAGTGCGTGGACCAGCTTCCTTCCTCTGCGGAGCAGCTGGGTCCTGAAGCTGTGCCCTGAGGCTGAGGAAGGTTGGGCTCCTGGGCGGGTGTGGGGGGGGGGAGGCTGTTCTGGCTCTGAGTGGGCCAATGCGGAGCAGCTGCTCAGCCGGACACATTGTGAGGGCCCTGGCCTGGCTGGGTGGGAGGGCGTCAGCTCAGGACTGCCCTCGGTGCACAGAGACTAGCAGTTAGCGTAATGGCTATGTTGCTGGACTCCCACGTAGTCGACCATGGTTCAAGTCCCGGACCCGGTGGCGCCGGGCGCTTGTGCGTGCGGGCCCAAGATCCCGAGAGGAGAATGGAGGAGAAGGGATTGCGGCGTGACCATCCCCCCCTGGGGGGTGATTT